TTGGGCCAGTCACAGACTCTCAGCCCAACCTACCTCACAGGGTTGTTGTTGTGGGGATAAGATGGAGGAGGAGATGTAAGCTGCCTTGAGCCCTTTGTAGGAAAAAGGCAGGATATAAATCGCAATATAAAAATCGCAATATAAATAGTCCTTGCAAAGGAGCTGCCAAGTGATGTATCCAAACAGGGCCTTCATTTGGTGACTGGACCCACCCACCTCAGCTACTTCCCCATGAGAGCAATGACTACTTGGTTGGCCCAAACAGGAGTTCTGCCAATGGTGCCACATCAGTCAGTGGGTGATCCCCCCTGGGTAAGTACTCTGAGATGCTATCCAGTGGGAGTTGTGTGGTTTGATTTGCTCAGTGGACGCTTTGGGGCTCCTGGTACGTCCTGTTTTCCAGGCACAAAATAGTTGATATGATTCCAGTCTCAAGTGTCCCAAAATGTTATAGTTGCCAGATGTATCTGATCGATTAGAAGTTAACAGCTTCACTAAAAATGCAAGAATGATAGTAACCATAGCAGAATGAATACTTAAAAGCAACAGGATCCAAATGTAGAAAGGAAGACACAAAAAGCAAATACTCAATAACTAGAAATGAAATATCTTAACAAATGTACCTTTGTCAGCAATTAGCAAAGGAGAGTTTAAAAATAATGTAAGTAACAAAAGCACAGTGCCTGATGGAACATAAAAGACTGATACTTACTCTACTTTGGCTTGGCCAGAATTAGGCCAAAATATAGGGAGTCCATTCATAGTGACTGGCTGGTCCATGCGCTGAGTGCCCTTGTCTTGGTCTCAGGCACAGATTAGAATGCGTAAAACAGCTGTCCCCAACCTGGTAAGCTCCAGATTTTATGGACTGCAACTCATCCCATTTCCAGGCAGCATGGATGGCCATGGTGGCTACAGCCACAGCCACATCTTAAGGGTGAGGAAGGCTGATAAGATGTGATGAGCTCAGTCTTCCTGCCTGTGCATATGAAACGCCAGCAGGAGCTAGAGATTGCTGGGACTTGTAGTTCTTGGCAGAGTATGGCATATGGTTTGAAAAAAAAAACCCATTCTGTCTCTCAAATTACAAGCGCTATTTATTTCTTTATTGTCTTTATCATTTAAATAGATGGAACAAAACAGTGTAGAATAAAAGGCACAAACACAACAAAATACAATATGAGAATAATTTAAACATCCATTTCACCATATGCATATGCAGCCAAAAGCACAACCAGAAGTATCAACAAAGATGATCTGGGGTAAGTGTTCCTGGTACAAGCACTCTCCCTCTCTCCCCACAGCCCTGGCCACTCAGCCTCTGGGGAGGAGGGTCTGGGCTGACAGGGTACTGTTGAACATACTGCTTGTTTTGGTTGGCACAAATAAATCTTTCAAGAAGATCTGACTATTTCATATAGATTGTGGGAATAAGTTTGCAAAATGAAGCATATCTATCACTGGGCCAAACACCTTTCTCTCTTCCCTCTTCCCTGCACATCATGGTAACGGGCTCTCAACTTAAGTCAGTCCAAGGCATGGCGTCCCCTTCCTCTCTCCCGTGGCTCGGCACTGGCACTCATTGGAGGTGCAGCAGGGCATGTGTGCAGTACTGTTGTGGACAACTTTTGCAGTCCAAAGGTAGCAGAGGGAATCGTTATTGCATAAGATGACAGCAGTGGAAGAATAATCATGGCAATGGCGAGGTTGTCAGTGCAGGTGTGGAACTGAAGAGGAGAAAGGAAATAGTGGGGAGGCAGAGAGCCTATCAGCAGAAGTGTCACAGTGAGCAGCAGCACAGTAATTGAGCACCAGGGCTGGAGGCACACTCAATCCAAAACACTTTGTTCTCTGAGGCATAGGAAAAGATGGCACCTCCACCCCAGTTCCATTCCACGTTCAGACGCTGGTCAGAATGGCAGCTGCATCCTTCTTCAATGGTGGGGATGGGACAGTGTTCCCCATCGGACCGAAGGCTAGCAGGGGTGCAGGACAAGCCACATGACAGGCCACGTGCAGGCTTCCAGCACCACGCTGCCACAATATCGTCCAACACCTTGCTCTGTTTAATGGCAGGACCAGCCAAATGGCATGGATAGCTGGATGAGTGTTTGCACAAAGTAAATGCTTGGTAGAATAAACTTTGTTGGGTTATAAACAGTACACACCATATCAAACAGCTTCCAACTTTTACAACCAAGAAGCCCAAGGAAAGAAGCAAACAGCATCAGCTCCAGTTGGATATTCTGCAACATCCTCCACCCCGTGACCCCTATTTGCATCCAAGGCTCTCTGCCTACAACCAGGGCAGCTAATTAGTTCTGCACCTTGAGTAACCCCAGCTATCCTACCTTTAAAACACTAGCAACACACTAACCTTCTGGCACACCTCTTTCTCCACGTGAACCTCGGCCATTGCTATTCTGGCTCCAGCATGCCCTGGAGACGGAGAAAGCAGGAGCTGTGTCAGAGGAAACAACTCAGCTTTAGCGAGGGCAAGCAAGTGAGCAAGGAGCCATGGCCAGGAGATGTTTGCTGAGTGAGGGAATGGCAGTACTAAAAGGAGGGTGAAACTGTGGGGAAATGGCAGTTATGGGATAAGGAGACTGCTGATAGGTTAGAGTGGGCCCAAGGACAGAGAGAGGCAGGGAAGGTACAGAACTGGAGGAAGAATATAAAGGGTACAATGTCTGGGGTTATCTGGGTTTATGGAGGCTGTTGTTCAAAACACATGTGGGCACAAGGCTGCCTAGCCATGAGACGTGACCTCTGCATCAGCCATGTGAAGGGTATGGAAATGTGGTTCCACTTGGCAGGAGCAGTCCTGCCCTTCCTGGGATGGTGTGGCTCCTGGAGGTCCCGGCATGGGTGCCTGGCATCCTAGCTTCCTTCTTCTCCAAAGGCTGAGTCATGTTGTTGCTTGTAGAGGAAGCACATGGTTCTGGATAGGCTGAGTGAGTTTTGAAAGACAAGCCAAGAGGGCCAGTTGCATTTCAGATGGGGCTGAGTGACTCTGGAGCTGTCATGACAATCAGAAGGACAGTGGCTGATCATCCTGACCGAAGGAGGAGAGAGCTGTCCGCAAACAGAAGGGAAGCAGCTCTGGGATGTGCACGAAACACTGGTGATCTGGGGATCAGGCAGCCCCAGCATGGCCTTTCTCCACCCCCTTACCTAAAGTAAATAGACATGGAGATAAAGACAAACTAATGTGACAGAAATCCAGCATCCCCAAACACCCCCGTTCATTCAGACATTTTTCTGTAGCTACCCAAAAAGACGTTTTATTCCATGGTTCAGTTAGGTCAGCAGTACTTCTTGTCCTGAAAACGGGAACATAAAGAGACAAACCATCACCCTGCTTTGAAGGAGATGTGAGAAGATCAGTGCTCCTCCTGCTGGAAGGCATTTGGGATGTACATTTCCAAACCAAGCCAGTGTCCTCCTAATGGATCTAATTTCTGGAAGATGTTTTGGTTGCAATCTGTGCAGGAGACTCATCAAAGAGTTCACAGAAGGGTTGGAGCCTTGCCTAAGTAGCCCATCCGCTTCTCTGACAAGCCACAGCTCCCCAGGATCTGATCACCCAGACAGGCCACTCTGTGATGCTTGCTAGGGCTCCTGTGCTGGTGGGGGGCCTGCGAGGGCCCTGGGGCAATGACAGCAAAGGAAAGTGGCATTGCCCTTCCACAGCTCTGGTCCACAACTGCTGGTCCTTTCCCTCAGGGGTGCAGAACCTCTTTCAGGCTGAGGGTGAAATTCCATCTCAGAGAAGCTCTTGAGGATTACATAGAAACAGAGCAAGTCAGAAGGGGCCTTCCAGGCCATCTAGTTTGACCCCTGGCACTAGCCAGCTCCACTCACGACATGCCCACCATGTGCATGTCCAGCCTATATTTGAACACCCTCACCGATGGGGCTCAACCACCTCCCATGGAAGCCCATTCCATACCCTCGGGGTCTTGAATGTCAGGAAGTGCTTCCTGGCATCTAAATGGAACCTTGGCTCCCTGAGCTTCACTCCGTTGCAGTGCTTTCTGCCTTCCTTTGCAGGGAAGAACAGGTCTCTACCCACCTCCGTGTGACACCCCCTCACATACCTGTATGTCGCCAGCAGATCCCCTCTGAGTCTCCTCTTCTCCAGGCTGAAGAGACCCAGTTCCCTCAGTCTCGCCTCATACGTCTTTCATTCCACGGACTAGCCAGTCATGGGCAGACCTAGAAGCAAAGGGACAAGGTCAAGAATGCAAAATGAAATAAAATGCTCACATTGTTTAACTTTAAGCTCCTACTGCCAAGAACCAAACCTTAGGGGAAAAATTTCAACTTTTTTGAAATGTAAAAAAACTTAGGAAATCACCAAAGGATTGGGGAGGTGTGGTGGTGGGAGGACCAGGAAAGGACCTCCTGGGATTTGGCTCTGGGGTGTGGGGTTCTGCAGCTCTGCCTTTCATCAAAATATCAGCCGCCCTCCCTCATGGGCACGTGTGAGATAGTCTGTCTTCCTCTTGATCCCCTGAGATGTTTGGATGGCTGAAAAGATAGTCAAGGCAGGCCATGCTCCAGGAGCAGCTCCATTGTGGTATCTGCTCCTAGCTTTTCACTTGAAACAGAAATCACACTACAAGCCTCTGCTGGCTGTGTGATGCCTCTGCCTGGGTGGATCCTGGGTACTGAATGGCTGACAACCCCTCTTTTGTGGATTACCCTCCCAGAGCTTCCCTTCACATGACCAAGTAGCTGGGTAAAGTCCAGGCTCTCAGTACCCTTTGCCTGTGAGAGTTGGGAATGCCAAGGGGTGGGCGGGTTCTGTCAGCTTTGGTTCCTCTCCTCAGCAGCACAATCTGTGTGGCTCACAGATCCCCAGAGGAATAGGCCTGGCGTAGCTATAAATCACTGGACGTGGATACAAAACCGTTACCTAGTTATGTGTGTGCGCATGTCTCTCTTGCTCTCTCCCTTGGGACAAACTGTAATCCTCTCTTCGTTTTTTCCTCTCTCTTTCTCCATCAGAAATGGCGACGCTATTGAAAATGAGCAGATCCCCCCAAGACACTGAGCAGTACCTTCTGAGGGCGAATGAGGTAGGGGCAATGCCTTGGGTTCCCTGAAAGCGGTTCTCTTTCCTCAATTATTGTCAGTACCCCACACACACACACACGAACACTTGAAAGCTGGGCCAATGACTTGGAGGGGCTGCTGTGGGGTAGAGGCTGGCATTCAGGGGCATCAAGGATGAAAGTTGTTAAAAATCATGCACATCGATCCTCCTGTTGGGCAGAAGCTTGGCTGCAGGAGGTCAGGGTGATGCTGCTTATTTTGTAGGTCGGAGTAGCTGCTGGCTGCTTGCTTTTTCCTTGGTGTACGGCTGAAAGGTTGGAGGGGTGACGGTAGAGAAACATTGCTGCTGATCTTGCAAGATGAATCAGGAGGCTGTTTGGATTCAGGGGATTTGAGGAATTGCCTCCAGTGCAGCAAGACAGAGAAACTTCCCCCCATCAAATGATGCCCATGTATGTGTCCTCCTCCACAAACTCCACACTGTTGCATGGCAAGGTGTGGAACTGGAGAATCTGGGAAACATAGCTCCAGTGAAACTTTCCAGAACAAGAGAGACAGAGAAAGAAGGCAGTTTACAAAACAAAAAGGTCTCCAGAGGATGAACAGGCTGTTGCTGGTAGAACAGGACTCCTGGGGGGTTGGGTCTGAGAGAGAGCAGCTGGGAGTCTTCTTTGGTTCTCTTCTCATCCTGTGAAAAGAATGTGGAGTACTGCTTGGAAGGGATTACTGCGGGAGGGAAGGAAGTATTGCTTTGGGTGTCCATGACTTCTGAGCTGAACTCATCAGTTTGGAGCATTACTTTAGTGCAACCTAAATATTGCAAAATTCCTTTTTGGAGATGTTGTCAAGGCTGCATTCTAGTGGTGGACAGGGCAAAAAAACAAAGCTGAATCTACCCAGCTTAAAGCTGCCAGGAACTAACACTTAGGTGTGGCATTTTGTTTTTTTCAGAATAGGGAAAAAACTGCACACATGATTGGTGGTTAGGGGAATGGGAGTGTGGGGTATGGTTTCCTGGAGAAGCCCAGAGGGCTGGACTTGACCTTAATGCTGAAGGTTCTGCACTCCTGATGCAGAGATTACAAGTGAGGCCTGCTGCAGTTTGGAAGGTTCCCTGCTAAGACTTCCAGGCACTCCTTTCCATTCTGCCACAACTCAGCTGTGACAACAATTGCCATAAGCAACCCACGTCTACTGCAGCAAAGCCAGCAAAGAGTGCTGAACCACCTTCAAGACTATTTATTCTGGCAAAAGCTTTAATGGACTACAGTTCATGTTATCTGATGCATGGGACACTGTGGAGAGTTTGGGGGTTATTGGGTGGAGGTGATGAATGCAAACATTGAGTTCAAAGGAAAACAAACACAGAATGTACCAAAAGTGACAATCATATTATGAACTGTGGTCATGCACAATACAGGTATTAATGACAGCACAATATCCTGGCACTAAGTAAGCCAATTAATTTCTGCAGTATGATAAAATCCCCTTATTCTGATTCCAGCTTCTGGTGATAGGATTAAACTTCATGATGAATCTGGATAGCTCCAATGGACTTCAGTTTGCTTGCTTGCTTTTTAAATGAACGTGCCAAGAAACATTCCGGAACATCAATTCATTGTTGGAAGAAGAAAAATCTAGGGAGTCCTAGCAATTGGCAAATCCTTGCTCCCCAAAGAACCAACAAAAAACTGAATCAAGCCTACCAGCAAGGCTTTTGTTACTAATGTGGGCGCACTTACACTACAGAGTTCAGTCAGGGCATAAATACAGGAATCTATAGCTGCATTAGCACCCATGGTGAAGAGTACAGGAATGTAGCATTTGATGGGGCTAATGGGAGTGTCAAGGTCTAATATACCATGTGTAAGATCGGCAAGCATGAATTAAGTTGGGAGGGGAGGGGAGCTGTGGAAATTTGCTCAGCACCTAATTTTCATCTTGCTGTACATCCACCAACTTCATTTTAGGAAATCATATTTGGGGGGCCCCACAGTGTAATGCTCTGATCCAGGAATGAGTTGTGATGAGGGAAAAGTCTCTTTGTGGTAATTTAGCACTTGTGATTGTGGGCTGTTCATTCTTTCTCTGAAAGGTCTCCGTGCATAAGATGCAAGATCTTGAGTATAGGTTGCAAAGGCAGGAAGAACAATTCATTCGAGTTCTCAGCTCTTATTGTGTATGTTTACCTGGCGGGACTGGCTAAAGAGCTATTGGCTAGGCTGGTCTGTGCATTCCAGGAGATGCATCCGAGAATCCTCGGCTTGCAACCTTGCAAAAGAAGCTGGCATGCAACAGCCCCATGGCGTCCTGCCGCGCCTCTTTGGAAAGTTGCGCTCCAGCATCCTCTTGGAGCGGCAAGGCAGCCGCTGAGGCACAACGCGTGAATCACATGCCAGCGACACATGATGATCTGATAGCTGTGCTCCAGTCAGCACATCCTTCGCTTTGCAACCGGGATGCTGCCGGGGTCTTCCTCTCGGCATCATCTATCAATCTCTCGCCCCCACCCCTTTTATCCCCCCCCCCTTCTGGGGCAGTTTGTGTGACACATTTCCCACCACCTGTTCTACGTCTTCTTCTAAATGGCGCCGTACTCACTTTATCTCCTCCCAGGGGATGATGGGGGATGGTGGGTGGTCTGAATACCCATCGAATGCCTTCTTCGGTGGGGTGGGATGGGTAGGGGCCGGCTGCAGAAAACGTGAAGGAGCGAGGGCAAAGATTAAGAGTAGGAGATGCCCCCACTTCACGCAGTTTATGCTGCTCATAATTGCTCCCACCCCTGACCCGCCCTGCGCGCGCACGGCCCTACTTCGGCGGCGTGTGTGTGCGCGCAGGGCGCGTGTATGGGGGGGGGTCTTTCCGAAACAGGGAGGGGCGCGGCTACGCGACGGTTCGTAGCCGCCAGCCAATGAGCGGGGCCCTGCCAGTGGGGGGGGGGGCTCTTAAAAAGCTTCTGGCCCTGCAGGCCGGGGGCCACAGAGGGGCTGCGCGGGCGGCGAAGGGAGCCCAGCTGCGGCAGCCGGGATCCCCCAATGGACTAGCGCCTTGCTTGCAGCCAAGATAGGTCCCGAGGGGGGGCGGCTGGAGAGAAAGACGAACGCCCGCCCATCCCCCTTCATCCCCCCTCGCCAAAATCCCCGCGTGTAACTAGTCAAGGGCGTTTAAAGGACCATTGTGTGCCTTTCCGCAGTAGCTCTCCTCCCGCCTGTCCCTCCGTTTTTTGCTCCGTTTCTTTCCTTTCAATTTTTTCTTTCCCCTTATAATCCTCCCATTTCTTTCTCTTTTTTATTTCTCCCGTCGTTCTTTTTTTTTTCTGTTCTCCTTTCTCCGATGATTTCCTCCGTTTTCGGATATTCCTCATTCTCTTAAATATCTCCTTTAAACTCATCCCCCCCCCTTTCTTTCTTCCTTCCCTCCCGCCTCAAGGAGGAAAACTGTTTTCTAAAGAGAGGTTCTCTCTCCCCCGCCTCTGCAACGATTTATCTCGGCTTTTCTTCTTCCCAACCGGACGGGGCCCCTTTTTGAATGCACCACCGCTGTTGTGGGGGGGCAAATCGCCATCGATCGGGAAGGCAAAGCGACCCCCCCCGCATCCAACCCGTTCCGACCCGCCCCACCCGGGGAGGAGGAGGAGGAAGAAGAAAGGGGCGAAGAAGCCCGATTCTAGAGCCGTCCACGGAGCCGCCTCCGCCGCTGCCCGGCTGGAACCCGGCGCGCCCTAAGCATGGTCACTGTAGGTATTTCGCGCTTCCGTCGCTCCTTTGTATGCTGCGGTGTGGGGGGTGCATTTGTGAAGGGTACGGGGGGGGGGCGAGTGAGGCTTTCCGAGAACCCTCCCCGCTCGTTTTGGAAGGTTCTGGCCTTGAAGGTGGGGGGCGGGAGTAGGAGAGAAAGCGCGATTTCTGCGGCGATGGATACGGGAGCCGATCCGCGTTTCCCCAGGCACGCAAATCACGGCTTCGAAGCATAAAATGACACCCTTCCATCGCCCCCAGCCCAGACCGTTCGGCGAGGAAACGCGCGCGCCCGCGCTCGCGTGTGGGGTGGGGGGAGTCTTGGGGCGCGCGCGCCCGGATTGCCAGAGGTGGTCTGTGATGGGGGAGGCTGCGCACCCCTCGGATGTTCGTCCCCGACGAGGGCGTGCTTCTCGTCGTGCGTCCCCGAAGGGGAACCGTCTGCGTGCCGCAGGCAGGCAGCTCCGCGACGCACCGGAGCGTCCAGCACAAGCATAACGGACGGAGCAGCGTGGGCTTTGCTGGGGCGGGACGACGATGCAGGCGGAATGGTTATCGGCCCCCCATCCCTGATCGTGGCGGCCAAGGAGGGGAGGGAGGGAAGTTCCTTTCGCCACCCCCACCCGCTGGAACTGCGGCGGCCCCGGCTGGCACCAGGCTCCTGCCAGGGCGGCTTGAGATCGGGGGCAGCCTGCTGCCCCCCGCCGCTCTCCGCCTCCGTACGTGTCTCCGCGGTGGGGGCAGCGTGTCTCCATCCTTGGAAGGGGCCGTAAGCAGATGGCGACGATGCCTGCCGAAATGCGAGTGGCGCTGCCTAAGGAGCCTGAAGCAGGGGCGGCGGAGCCAGAGGCATTGGGGGCGCCGCTTGCGCTTCGGGCGTGTCTCTCGGGGCGCCCGCGCGCTCCCCGCGGACCGGCGCTCGTGCTCCGCGCGTGCGTCTGGCTGCTGCCCCACGGGCGCGCGAGCGGCGGCTGGCTCGGCCCTGCTCCGGGGACCGGCAGCGGAGGCACGGGCGGAGGACCGGGGGGCTCTCGGAGTGGCCCCCTCCGTGTCCCGCCCTCGGGGCGCCTCTCGAGGCGTCTCTTTCCCAGGCAAGGCGCTGCAGCGAGCAGCCCCCGCCGTCGCTGCGAGGGAGGGGCAGGGGGAGCTTTCGAGTGCGGTGCGGGGCTGGCGTGGAGGAGCACGCAGGAGCCGAGCCCATTGCAACGTGCCTCCGTCTAGAACCTGCATGTCCAGCGCGGCGCCGCCGCCCTCCTCCCGTGCAGGAGACGCAAGCAGGAAGG